CGGGGTCTGATACATCGAACTCTGTTGCTGATGTTGGAATTGAGAGAACCCATGAGAGAAAGTGTCCCACTCCTGAGATGCTCCACGACTCGATGACCCTCCACCGGCTTCCGCTGTAGGTGCCCACTGGTACTCGAACGGTTCAGGGATCTCGGTTTCTTGAGTTGTACGCACCTCATCGAACGTAGGCAGAGGTCTGCATTTGCTCCTTCGTGGGGGCTCAACCGGGGGCACAATGGGTGCATCATCACGGAATGAGGGTCGTGCCGGGGCAGGAACGGGAGGATAGGCCACGACATCCCTCCTTTGCTCTCTGGTACAACTCAGGAGGTTGTTCATATGTCGGGTCAACCAAGTAGTCTTCCGCTCATCCATGGTTGGAGAACTTTCGAGAGTGTACTTGGCGTGTTCCAAACCATCATACTAAGGAAAGCACGCCACATATCAAATTAACTAAACCTTAAAATAAATAGATTTTTGAATGAGGGAGATTAGGATGACTTACCAACGACCCCATCACAGCACCTTGCTTTGACACCCATCTCATGGTGAACTTCCGATACCACTGCATGTACCCATCGTGGTAGCCCATCGGTCTCGTCTCCGGCATCCCTTGCACCACCCATTGGGACCGATTCTCCCAGATGTTGATGTAGAATCCATGCTTTAGCACCCAGTTCTTTGCAGTGTGTCGGAGGTCCATAGCATGTAGCTCCCTAAAACCGGCTGGCGGGTCTTGTGGAATTGGTTGCTCCATTCGATATTGCCTCAGAGATCGATCGGGTAGGTGCCATTCCACCATGTGCCAGCAGATCAATGGCACCTTGCACAACCACGTCTCGTGATCCAGAGGGTGCCTAAGATGATGCAGCTCACCCACTTCACGTGGATATGGATCCCATATAACCTATATTCATTCAAAAATTCGGAATTAATGACCATTTACATTGACCAAATTTAACTTGTTCAAAAATGGACAAAATATGATTACCTGATTCCACCATGGTTTATCTAACTCATAACGATAAAACAATAACGAATGCTCAGGTTGATGGTCATTCGTATTTGCTCCTATCCACCTTGTAAGTAAAAGTACGGATTCAATTTAGTTGAAATATAGCTAAGCATATAATAAATTAAATTGGTCTAAGTACGTAATAAATAAAATTTAAATCTAACTAAGCATGCAATCAAAATTAAATTGGGCTAAGTACGGAATAAATTCAATTTAAATCTAGCTAAGCATGCAATCAAAATTAAATTGGCTATGTACGGAATAAATTCAATTTAAATCTAGCTAAGTACACAATCAAAATTAAATTGGGCTAAGTACGAAATAAACTTACTTGACACCGTAGGGGAGATTTTGCAGAAAGTTGAGTTCATCATCGTTTCTCCGGTATGGACGTGGGTCGACAGGTGCAAACATCGGGAGATGCTCCCATACCCACAGTTGCAGGATGAACATCGCAGCACCAGCTTGCTTTGCCCCAACCTTCGAGCAAGTACACAGCTCCCGGTATACGCCCGCTAGCACGGCCGATCCCCAACTCTTCTCTCCAATTGCATCCCAGTCACCAGTGAGCAATGGCAACCATATGCCTTGAACCCACCGGTTGGACTTGTCGGGGAACAAAAATCCACCCACCAAACCGATGAGGTAGATGCGAGCGTAGCGCTCGACTTGTTCTTCCGGTGTCTCGTCATTGATTTCCACCTCTTGCTGGATGTGAGATACCAGCCACGGGACCGACACTTGCCCCGCATTCAACGGTGGATGCCCCCGTCCTTGAATTGGTGTGGTGGTCGGCATGTCGAAGCCCAAACGATCACGTATGAGCGGCCCCCAACCTCCTTCGGGTTTGGTCGTGTAACCAATGATTGCATCTCCAGAAATAGGAAGCCCGGTGAGGATCGCCACGTCTTTGAGGGTGATCGTCATTTCCCCCTCCGGAAGGTGGAATGTATGGGTTTCGGGACGCCATCGTTCCGCCATTGCCGTAAGCAGATCGTTGTCGATCTCGATCCGCAAGAAATGGCGCAACATTCCCAAACCGGTCCTCGCTATGTAGGGCTCCAACCTTGGATGCCAAGCGGGCAAGTTATTGGTCCCTTTATGAACCACGGGAACAAGCGATTCCTAAAACAAATAGGGAAAACAACAATTTATTAGATTAAATAAAGCAAAATAAAACCTTAGAAAATAATAAAATAAAGCAAGAATACTCAAAAAATTACCGGATAGTTATCCCAAATAGCACGGGAGCGATGAGATTCTTGATCGGTTAAGAGACTCGCATCCCTTGGGCCATAATGGATATACAATCGAGGATCGTATATCTCGGCACCCATCTATAAAAAAGTAATGAAATCAGAGATTGTTTTGATAAAAAAAAAACAAAAAATCAAATTGTTTCGATTAAAAAAAATTCATAAACCAAAAACCTACACGAAGAGCCTCTTCGTCCATTTTTTGGCGTAGGCCGGACAGAGGTTCGACGATTTTAGGTTTGTAAGGGACGGGAACTTAGCGGGACGGGGGCTTTAGGGTCAAACTCTAGTAATTCTTTCTGATGTGGAAGATCAGACTTAGCCGCAACCACAGAGCATACTTAGAACGAGACTAGAGCGGATAAATTGAGGGAGAAAGAAGTGAAATGTTTGTGGGGTGAGTTGAAAGTGAAAGGGGAAGGGGGTAAATATAGTTGGGGGAAGGGGGGGAGGAGCTGATGCGCAGTTATTAGGAGAGCATTCACCGCGTTTGAGGAACGCGGTGAACTCCTCGCAGTAACCAAAAACGGTTACTTCAGAGGTGACGTGGCGTGCTGTGAGGCGTCGGATCGTGGGAAGAAAACCACGATCCGCGCCTCACCGCATCTAACGGCCACGGTGAAAGCACACTGGCGCGGATCGCTGACGCAAACAAACATGGGGTATTCACCGTGTTTGTCTAACACGGTGAATACCCCGCGTCTGTCCACGTCAGCAACTTCACCGTGGCAGACAAAAACGGTGAAGTCCTCACCATTTTTGATTAAAACGGTGATGTCTTCACCGTTTCAGTTTAAAACGGTGATGCATTCACCGTTTTAGACTAAGACGGTGAAGGCGTCACCGTTTTACTTTAAAACGGTGAAATTTTCACCGTGTTTATTAAAAGCGGTGATACCCTTCACCGCCTTTGTCTAAAACGGTGATGCTCAAACATGTGTACTTTTGGAAATTTTTTTATAACTTATGTATTTTGGGAATTTTTTTTAATAACTAGTGTACAGTGGGATTTTTTCCTGCAGAAATATATATCTTTAGTTTCTAATTCATGCATGCACAAATGACACTTAGTTGTATTATTTAATTTGTACACATAAGCATGTGTTTATAACTTAAAACTCCAGTAACACTTTGCTTTCTACCTCACTAACATGGAAGAAATCGTATCCGACTCCAAATTTTACTCAAATGTATAATTTTAAAAAGTTATGATTCAATAAAACCACATCATATGTTGCGTTTTAATTGTCAATAATATATATTCATAATGTTAATAGAAGTGAACAAGAATGAGACTGTTAATAGTGGAGGTACTGGATCTGAGGCTACAGATGATAATGTTGAGAAGAAGGAAGACATTGTTCATGAGAAAGACACAAGTACTGGCGATGGGGAGAAAGAACAAATCATGGATATTGTTCATAATTTGGGCAATGTAAATTCTACTCCAGTGAAAAGATTATTAATCTTTCTAAGTAATTCATCATATGGCGCTCAAAGAACTGCAGGAAAACAAGAAAAATATTATTGAAATGCAAGAAAAGAAGGAAGTATGAAAAAAGAAAGAGAAGAAGGAAATGACAATTGGCAATGGAGATAAATGTGTCATTACTTAAGATGAACCCAATGATCGGTGGATATTATGATGTTGCTCATGGTGGAGAAAATGCAAACAAGTCAAAAAGTATATGTGCAGTAATCTTTGACGATGAGTAGTAAATAAAAAGGTTATTTCAAAATGATTTTAGAAGTTGGTTATTAATGTTTCGAGTGTTTGAAAAAAATAAATTTCTTAAACTATAAAAAAACGTATATCTCCCATACAAATTACTATAAATGTTTATACGATTGGTTAATAAATCCGGCCAATTGGCGTAGCCCATGACTAGTGATATCTATAGAGTGCGGGAAGAAGATGGAGAAAAGTAAGAAAAGTCACATGTGGATATACATACAATGGGCTGGTAACATTAAATCAGTCCTCAAACCCAAGCGAGATCCATGGAATTAAATGGGCCATTCACATGTGAAAGTTGAGTTAAGCCGCGCGGCGGGGTAACGACGTACAGGCCCAAAAAAATCAAAACACAGATGATGACATTCAGCTCCCAAAATTTTGGAATTCAAAAGTAGAACCGAAGATGGATCAGTCAGTCACGGTAATCAGGCAGCTGGGTTGCCTTTAATTGGAGTCATGAAAAGCGGCGTTGGGGGTTAGCTTAGCGGCCTGTGATTCACATAAATAATCAGATGGCTGCTTTCTGGAAACCAACTAACTAACTAGCTCTATAGCTGAAGGTGAATGTGGTGAAACTGAGGACGCGCGCGCGTCATTACTCCACTGCATGCGATTGCAGGCTCCTCCTCCTCCTTGGAGCTCTCATACTCTAGTATAATATATATATATATATACTCACAAAAACAGCGATTTCCAGAGGCAGCGATTTCCTTTTGCTAGCTTGCTTCATCTTGCATCCATCCAAACAAAAACAGCACCAAAGAAACAAAATTTGTGACAACCCTTTGTTTCCCAAATCCCAATACACTGCAGATTGGTCTATATTGTGTAAGACAATTCAATTCGTAGCGTTCATCTGTTTGGGTTTTCCGCATGTAAATTGTCAGTTTTACTGTACTAGTTGTAGTTGTGATGGATGGTGCTAAATAAATATATGTGCCACTTTGTAAATTGCTGTTTGTTTCTCTTGTCCTTAATTTAATTTGCAGGTGGAGGACCCCCCCTCCCAGTCCCAGTAGGAGAAGCTAGCTCTGAGGTGCAGCAGGAAAGAAAGTTTACTATCTATCTATCTATCACAAACGTAACTCAAAGAGGGATTTAATTTTGTCATCTTTTGCACATCTCTAGCTAGCCAGACAGCTAGCACTGTCAGCAGTCTCGATCATATGGATAACTACTCGGTATATATACATACATACATATCTTGTCCATCTCGGCCACCATATCCTCTGCTAGCTAGCTTCCTTCCTCTCTGGGTCTCACCCAAACATGTATCTGTATCATTGTGAGCGCCAATTGATGATGATGAGGCATGATTTTTTGTTCCTCCAGGACCTGCAGGACTACACTACTTCCCTGCACCCTCCCACGGGAGAACAAGGTCATGATGAGGACATGAACAACAACAACAATAGCTGCAGCAGCATGGATCAGCGTTTCCTCCTCCACAACCACAACCACAACCACAACCAATCCATGTCATCATCACCATCGGGTTTGGAGAAGCTGATGAGCTTCGCCGACGTCATGCAGTTGGCGGATTTCGGGCGCCCCAAGCTGCCCGTCAACCACCACTACCAAGACAAGGAGGCGGCGCCGGCGGCCGGGACTGACATGGAGGATCCCGTCTACTTCCTCAAGTTCCCGGTTCTCAAAGACCGGATAATTACCAACACTAATCACATCGAACAACAAGAAGAAGAAGTCGATGAAAGTCGTCAACAGCAACAACTAATGATGAAGATGATGTCGTCGTCTTCGTCAGAAGCTCCTCCTCAGATGATAAGGTTTGATGGCGATACGACTAGGGTTTGGGGTAGCAACAAGGCCGAGGCGTCGGAGGGGCAGCTGCTGCAGTTCGTTAATAATGATCAACAAGCGGGTGGTACAATAAGTAGTGTTCCGGAAGGAGCAGCGGCGGCGGCGAAGAACAACAACAACAACAACAAGAGGAAGCGGGCGCCGAGGAGTATAAAGACGAGCGAGGAGGTGGAGAGCCAGCGCATGACTCACATCGCCGTGGAGAGGAACCGCCGGAAGCAGATGAACGAGCACCTCCGAGTCCTCCGCTCCCTCATGCCCGGTTCCTACGTCCAACGGGTCCCTACTCATTTCCTAAATTTCTTTCTTTCTTACTTACATGTCCACTCACTACTCTAACAAACTATTATAATTAACGATGGATTAATGTACGTACTTACGTGTGAGTGAGTGCAGGGAGATCAAGCGTCGATAATTGGAGGAGCAATAGAGTTCGTGAGGGAACTGGAGCAGCTCCTGCAGTGCTTGGAATCACAGAAGAGGAGGAGGCTGTACGGGGAAGGAGCAGGACCAGCTGCTGCTGCTGCTGCTGCTGCGAATATCGGAGCTGACAGCAACCAACTGCAAGTCCAGCTCCAGCACCAGCCATCATCACCCAGCTTCTTTCCTTCCACACATGGTCATGACGACGACGATGAGGCCGCGGCCGCGTTGGTGTGCTTCGACCCTTCCTCCTCGGGATTTGTAGTGAGGGAGGAGACGGCGGAGAACAAGTCGTGCTTGGCTGACGTGGAGGTGAAGGTGTTGGGGTTGGACGCCATGATTAAGGTGCTGTCCAGGAGGCGGCCCGGCCAGCTGATCAAGGCGATTGCGGCGTTGGAGGATCTGCACCTCAACATCCTCCACACCAACATCACCACCATCGAGCAAACGGTGCTCTATTCCTTCAATGTCAAGGTACCTACATACCTACCTACTTTAATTAACCTTGTCTTCTCTGGATTATCTTAATTAATCAGCCCTACTGCATGTGGTCGATCTGTGGGTATAGGTTGAAAGTGAGGTGAGGTTCACGGCGGAAGAGATAGCGAGCTCTGTGCAGCACATATTTACTTTCATTCACGCCAACACCACTACCTCTACCTCTCGCTCTAGCATGTGATTGATCCATCATGACGCGCCGCCCCGTGTCTGACTACCTACACATGCAATATCTCTCAAGTTTTTTTTTTTTTTTTTCTGAATTAAGGACATGATTCATATATTTGATATATATATCGACATCTTATACATACAGAACGAAACAAAAATATATATTGTGATAATTTATAGATAGTTGAATTTCTTTTTATGGGGGATTGAATCGATGTCATACTTTCTATAATTTTATTTTGTTATTAAAATATATATTATACAAGATGTATGTATTTAGCATCATTCTATATCAGTTATGTAAAAATTATGGATGACTACTTATTTTTATGTATCATCAATTAAACAAAACTATTACATAACTCTTTTCTAATGACCTTTGTAGTTCTTACTATAAAACAAAAAGAAGGAGAACATATTGGTCAACAAGTGCCTGAACTAACGATCCTAGGGCTTGTTCTGCCTTGATATGGGCAACCTGTTGTACCTTAGAGGCTTGAAGTGGAACAAAGCATGTTGGAAAGATGGGCCCGTAACACCTGATGCGACGAATCTCTCGAGTTGATGATCACCCGAAAATTCACATGTAGATCACCGCAAAACAAGACACGAGAAAAAGAGTGAGCCAAACACCAACGGAGAGAATCACAAAGAGCAAGGAGCTCGGTGAGACTCATATTTCAAACTGGGACCAGTCTGGATGATGTCCTCCACAACTATTCATAACATCAGAATTCGCTAAAGTCGCAGAAGGCCCGTTCCGACATGTCAATTTCGGTTCTTACAAAAATTATCCGATCCATCTTCGACATCATGGAGGTTTCTTGTCCAAACTATTTAATTTAAAAAAAAAATCATAAATTGATTGATGAAGTTATATAATATAGTGTCTTATCGTTAGAAAAAAAAAGTAGTGAATAATGAAAATGGAACTATATATCTACACAAACCTTTCAATAAATGAGCGAAAAAACGAACTATAGAAATCAAAATTTAAAAGGAAGTTGGAGATATTACGAACATATATGTACACAACATCGTTCAATTTCGCTGGCAAGTAGGTAGGTAGGTAGGTACCATACAAACTATACTCAACATACATTATTTGTTTCCTTGATTGAAATACACCAACATCTTAATTAACTGCTATCTTTCACTACATTAGTCAGCAAGAGAATGCAATTTGTAAATTGTAGGAATAGTAAAGACATAATAATAAGATAGTGTAAACTGTCAAAGCTAGCTGTAGCTACGTATTCGGTAAATTAATTAAGGTAAAGTATTCGGAAAATGAAAGTATACACAAATTGAGGCTTATATCGAGGGAAGGGGTGGGAGTTTTGTATATTTTGAGCACTGCCTGCAGCAGCCACGTACGTAGGTGTTGTTGGTTGGGTTGATCTCTGGATCTGGCATTTATCGGCCGAGGGCTTTGACTTTTGCAAATCGGGACAGATGGTGACTTCAATCCTTGTACGCATATGCGCGCATGAAATTATGAAGAATCCCATCTGCCTCTTCATCACCCATCGCTGGAGAGAGAGATTGAAGTATTGGAGCTAGGAAGGGTGCAGAGTGACAAATAGTACCAATGTTGATTTGGCTGCAAGTGGGGATGGAGGAGGTGATAGAAAGGAAGGTCAACCAGCAGGGAGACTTTTGTCTCCACCATGCATGAGGTCAACGTTGACTTGTCAGAATTTGTTTTCAGGCTCAGCTAGCTAGCTGGTTCTACTTGTACTGCATGCATATATATTATTAATTAATTAATTAGGCCATACCATTCGCCTTTCTGTAGGGTATCTGTCTCCTCTGTTTTGTTCCGCTTTTGGATTTTTGCACAATCCATGTGACCGCTTCTCAAATATATAATAACAATAATAATAATAATAATAATAATAATAATAATAATAAATCAGAGGTAGAGATTTGGAGAGATCTTGCAAGCCGCAAACCGCCTTCGTCCCGAAAAAACGTCGTTTGCTACCCCGAACGAGCCTTTTTTCGATTTCGTCAAACTTTGGACGACCATAACTTTGTGCTCCACAATCCGAAAATCATGAATTTTTTTTTGATTTTGCATAACTTTTTGAGGACTACAATTTTTAGTAGGAGAGAATTTTCAAAAAATGAATTATTTTGGATATACAGGGTTTTGAGAATAAGTTTACCTTTCCTTTTTAGGAATCCAAGTACATTCCGAAATTATGTCTATGATAAAAATTGTAGTCCTCAAAAAGTTATGCAAAATCAAAAAAAATTTCATGATTTTCGGATTGTGGAGCACAAAGTTATGGTCGTTCAAAGTTTGACGAAATCGAAAAAAGGCTCGTTAGGGGTAGCAAACGACGTTTTTTCGGGACGAAGGCGGTTTGCGGCTTGCAAGATCTCGAAAAATTATGCGGAATCAAAAAAAATTTCATCACGATCGGATAACCGAGCAAAAAGTTACGTTTTTTTAAAGATTTGACGTAGGTCAGGCCTTCACCAGGCCTTCACCGTTTTCCTCTAACGCGGTGATGCATTCACCGCGTTTCTCTACAGCGGTGATGCAATCACCGTTTTTGTCTAAGGCGGTGATGCAATCACCGTTTTCGTCTAACGCGGTGATTCAATCACCGCCTTTGTCAGACGCGGTGAAGGCCCAAACATGCGTAGATTGGGAATTTTTTTCATAACATGTGTATTTTGAGAATTTTTTTTAAAAACATGTGTACAGTGGGATTTTTTCCTAAATAATGCATCTCCACTCCAACCTTCCAACAATGTGAATAATAATAAGGCTGTCAAAGCACTTTCCAGTCAATTTAATTACTACCTTTGTGAAGATGCCCTCTCTGACTAAACCAAAACCCATCATGGAAATGCACTCCAGGAGTCTCAGAGGAGAAAAAAGCCATCTTGTTCTCAATGTACGACCAACAGTAGTGGGTGCTAGAGGCAGCGGCATGGCGATGCTACTTGGAAGGTGGGTCACTGACTCGAGCATCACCCTCCAAAAGGCAAGAAATGCCGCCGTCCACAAGTGGAGAGCTTACGGAGAGGTACAGGCAACCAAAGAGGCAGACAATCTGTTCGTGTACTCCTTTCAGTCTGCAAAACAGCGAGATGCGGTATTTGATGCAAGACCGTGGAATCTAAGCAACACAGTGATCGCCCTCAAGAAGTGGGATGGCGAGCAGAAGGCAGAGATAGATGACATACCCACAGTCACTTTGTGGGTACAGATGCATGATCTCCCCCAGTCTTTGAAAGATGAGGAGGCGGTGCAAGCAGTCGCATCTTTCATCTTCCCACAGTTCCATTGCATTGATCATTCCAACTTCGAATTCAGAGGATGGCTCAAGTTCATTAGAGCCAAAGTGGAGGTTAGCCTGGAAGACCCCGTACCCATTGGGTTCGAATATCCGATCGGTGAGAGATCGATCTGGGTAAGCTTCAAATACGAACGTATTATGGATTTGTGCTACTTCTGCGGACGCCTGGGTCACTTGATACAAAACTGCCTCGAGCGGGAAGATCACAGAAGAAAAGGCCTTTGCATCGATCCCTCTGAAGTATACACCGATGCCCTCAAGGCGGGGCATGACTCGCCGGCCAACATCCCGCCGGCGTCTTTCCGAGAAAAGCTGGCGAATATGCGCCGGCTACCTAGTGCTGAAGCAACGATGCAACAAATCCGGGGGACCAGAGGGGAATCTTCCTTGCTAACCCTCATTGGACGCCCAGTGACAGGGTCACTACCTAGCCCAGTACCCTACTCCTCTGGGTATGCAGCCCTGCCAATGACAAGCCAGAACTCAGAGTGGGTGTTCAGAGGAGACTCAGGCCCAGCAACAAGTCAACCGACAATTCTGGAAAAGGAGATGGAAGCAACAGCCAGAGCTATGCAAAGAGGGCTGGATCTAAGAGAGGGAACCAGAAGCAGAAGCAGGGAGAAAAACGCAGGCCTCATCGAGATGGGCCTGAGCCTGTCACTTGCAAGCCCAACCTTCTCGCCCGCGGAGCCGAGTGTAACCCCTGCTGCCTTTGATCAAGCCCAAGTGTTGTCCAACCAGGCCCAGATGATGAACAGCAGGCCTGCAAATGAGACAGAACCACAGGCAGATGAAGGAAGGATTAGGCCTGAAAAGAAGAGGAAACCAGATCAAATGAGCCCAGCATGCATCTCTCTGCCAGCACAACAAATGAGCCCAGCGTGCACCTCTCTGCCAACACAGGAGCAGGCAACTAACTTTCTCTTGATTCTCTTTCTTTTGTCCCAGGAGAAGGCAGAAAGACCTACCAGCGAAGGAGAAGCAGTATCCGAAGGAAAAGCCTAGCAGATATCACAGCTGATGGGAGTCAGTCCGGGGAAGGGGAATCTCCCACCCCGAGGGCGTCGGCGGCAAGCCTCAAGCCGCCTGTCAATGAATGAGAATCTTAAGCTGGAATTGTAGGGGATTCGGCCAGTCCCTTACAAGAAGCTACTGCGGCAGGCTGTGCCGACAATTTGGCCCCTCAATCCTCTTCCTTATGGAGACGAAGAAAGAAGAATCGTTCATGGAAGGAAAAAGGAGGGGGATGAGGTTCGATCATGGAGAGTATGTGAATCCAGCCAGTGAAGGGAGTGGATTAGCGTTGTGGTGGAATGATGATGTGGATGTTTGTGTGTTGGATAGGTGTAAGTCCTTTATGGACATTAGGATTAGTCAGAATGGTGTGGTCTTCTTTTGTTCTTTTGTCCATGCTCCTGCCACGGCGGCAGAGAGAAGGTTGTTGTGGGATCGGCTTTCTACTCTTAGGGCAACTCAAGACAAATCTTGGCTCATAGTAGGGGATCTGAATGTGGCACTTTTGCCTTTTGAAAAGCAGGGGCGATGCCCCCTGAGGAATGATAATGTAGTCCCGTTAAAGAATTTCATGGATGTCAATGGATTAGTAGACCTTGGTTTTTCGGGAGAGGTGTTTACCTGGACTAACAACCAGCAGGGCTCTGATTTGATTAGGGAGCGGCTTGATCGAACACTTTGTACCTCTAGTTGGCTCCGATGTTTTGAGAAAGCAAGGGTGTTCCATGAGGACTTTGTGGAATCTGATCACTGCCCGATCAGAATCGATCTTCACCACTTTTTGCCTGCTCCCAATACCCCATTCCGGTTTGACAAACGATGGAGAGATAATGAGGAGTGCAGGCAGATCATCCACGATACATGGGGTTCAGGGGGATCGATCCAA